TTCCTCTTGAGAAATCAATCTTGCAGATCGGCTGCCTTCCCCGCCCCCCTCCCTCCCTTTCCTGCCGCCGCCGCCCTTCTCCTACCCCGCTTCCCAGTGGCACAAATAAACGGAAACTGCTTAATTGTGTGCCCCGTTAATGTTATAATAAAATACTGCCCTAATTGGAAAAATATTATTATTAAGCAGACAAAATGATTACGCGTCTCCTTTTCAGATGGAAACACCATCGCAGAAAGGACAATTAACAGATTAGATTTAATTGCAGGGGGGAGGGGAAGAAGCAAGTTTGGGTCTGATGAGGATTCCTCCCCCCCACACACACCTATTAAGTATTAAGATATCGCGTTTCCGTAGCACACACACACCCTCCTCGAGGGGTGAGGAATATGGATGCAAATGATACCTACACGTTCATGCTCCCTAGTTGGGTTTTACAGATTAGTCAGCCTCTTTTTCTGTGTCGAGGCTGGTGCTGTAATCCGCGTGCAGATGTTCAGTTAATCTACCGTCCAAAATAGGGTTGTACTGAGGAACACATTTGGCTTCTTTTATTTCGGCTTAAAGATTAAAAGCGAAAGCTGTAGAAAAGTTTCTGTATGGGGGGAAAAAAACCACGCAAACGTTTGGGCGTGCTTGCGCGCGCGTATAAAGACAGAGGAACCGGCTGGAAGGCTGCTAAGATTATAAAGTTAGAATTCTTGGCAGACTATGGTAGTTTTCTGCTGCAAATACACTCTTCCTGCCCACTGACTAACCGAATAAACACGGCTGGGTCCAGGGATATTTACTCTCGAGTAAACACGCAGAGGATTGCGCTTGTAAATCAGCCTTTCAAAGTTTGAAGCCACCGGATCTGGCACATTTGCTTTCCAGCAAGATCTGAGAAAGTTTTGGGGAGGGGGGGCGGCGGGCAACCAAGTGTGAGTTACAGAGGATGACTGATCCTGCACATAAAAGACTTTCCTCTGGAGGTGGCCCACCCCACCCCCAAATCCGAGGAAGGGGGAAGGGATGTTGTTTTGTCTTCCCGCCCCCAAGCGATTCAAAACTTCAGAAGTCCTTAAACGCACGGAATGCCCTCACCCTTCTTCTCTCCGGAAACAAACAAATAGATTTTGTGCGCTTTTAAAGCGAACCCCTCAAAATACAGTATTATCAATTCACAATCTGAAACAAATGTTGCTCTGGCAAAAAAATCTGCTAAGGATTCCTTTTTAAATCATTTGTACATTATGCATTCTGAAGTGGGAACCTCCCCCTCCCCCGTTTCCCTTTCTAAGCTTCATTATTTGTTTTTTTAAAAAAACTTTCCTATTTCTCGGGAAAGAAAAATCGGGGGTGGAATTTGTTTTCAAGGAAGCAAAACAAGAGTCGTCCGCGCCCGCTTCTTTTAAAAGGAGCAAAGGACTAGCCTTTGTGACTGGGGAGAAACTCTGGAGACCGTAAGAAACGACCTGGCCGGGTTGAAATGGGCATCTATTTCCGTTCCGATAGGGCGGCTGGGAACAGCAGGTCTGTTGCCTCTGGAGGCAGAAGGTATCTCGAGGCACGCGCTAAGGCGAGGTTCAGTTCTTTTCTTGCAAATGGATGTCATTGACTCCAAGGGGCCTTCCCTTCCCCGTAAATGGGCTTAAGGTCCTCACCAAACGAAAGAGCCTGGCCCCCCTTTCCGCCCTCTTCAGGGTGGTCGACAGAAACATCAGCCTGCCTTGAATTCTCCAGTCCCAGCTGAGAGGGCTTTGCAAAGCAGAGCCTGTTGCCCGCCTTCACCTGGATGCCCTCCTCGATTTCCCTCCCCCGCCCTCCCCCATTTTCACATGCCGGGACTGAAAGGGGCTGTTGGTGTGACAACGCCCGCCCCAAACCCCTGGCCCTGATTTGTAGACCGCTCTTTCCTCTCCCAGCATCGTGGGAAATTGCATCTCTCTTTCCTCCTTCCACCTGAGGAGAAAGGATGCTAAGGATGACCCAGTCCGGAGGGCTAAATGCTGGGTTTCCCTTCACCCTAATCCGCGGAACCAAAAAAAAAAAAAAAAAAACACCTAACGGCAGGATAAGGAACAGTGAAAGAGAAAGTCAGGAGAAGTGGGTTGGGAACCGAACTATACACGCCCCAAATTGCCACGCGGTGTGAAAATAAGAAAGGCTATTTGGGGGGCTTACTTTCTCGGTATAGAGAGCCAAGAATTGGACCCGAGGGGCGGGAGGAATAAGTGTTAAATAAGCCTTTTTAGATTTGGCGGTCTGAAAACGTGCGTGTCTCCTTTTTTTAAAAGGAGGAACGAGGGGGAAAAGCAATGCCATAGCAGAAACCAGGTCACTCGAACGAGCAGCTAAAATTTATGTTGTTTTACTACAAAGGGGCAGAGGGCGAGGCAAGAAAAGCCGAGTAAGATGAACTCGCTGAATCATATGGTCTCTATAGGCAAAAGTTTATCCAGTGAAGCCAACGTCCCAAGAAGGGAGGCCAGTTTTGGATGCCCTGAAGGGTCGGCGACAGACTGAATGAAAGCTAAAATAAAATAAAGCGGGGAGGGGGGAGTTGAGAGACACTCCATTTTATACAAATCCCCCTGAGTTCCTTTCCCGCGAGGAGGGCGCTTGATGCCTGACCTCCAGCTGGGCTACCCGGAGAGGAGAGGCTGAGGAAGTCCGCCGCCGCCTCTCGCGGAAAAGGATCCACCGGAGGTGGAGAGATATCAAATGCAAGCCAGGGAAATTAAGCGCTGATTGCAAAACACCGACACTGGAATGGGGGGGGGGAGGGGTGTCGGTGCACAAGTGGAGAAGGAAAACCCTAAACATGCCGGGGTGGGGAAGGGGAAGAATTGCACCGTAGTTTTTGGGAGCGCTCGGAGGACCACGACGCAGGCGACTAGGTCAGTGGGTGTAGTAGCGATGCAGCCCGGTACCTAAAGGGGTGCCTTCCGCGTTACTTTTCCCTAAGAGACGGAGGAAAGGGGAGAGGGGGGAAAACTTGTGGTTCCAGATCGCATTTCCCCTTTGGAGAGGGATCTGGCTACCAGAAGCGATTCTAACCAATCCAGCTTCAATCCTTTCTTTGCCCCGGCCAGTCACCACAAAACAGAGCGGGGACGGAGGTGGGGGGGAAGGGAAGGAGATCCAGGCCTGGGAAGGATCGGAAGTTAGGGCAGGGAATCCCTCCCTCTTCAAAGAGAGCGTGTGTAGCGACTGGCCTCAAAAGCCACGGGTGGGCGAGAGTTTCTTGAGGGGCGCTCTCAGTGGCGCCTGGGCGACAGCAGCAGCAACGAAGGGTGGAGACGGAGGAGGAGGAGGAGCCGCCGCTCCAGCCCCGCCGCTCTCAAAACTTGAAAGTTTCTCTTGCCGAAATCAGCGACGCCCCGGCTGTGCGCATTCCTCCTTTCCCAGCGCGCGGGGAGGCATCGATTGGCGAGCGCCCGTGTGCCAAGCCGGCCTCGCACCCAATCGAGGCTGCGGGAGCGGCGAGGAGGAGAAGGAAAACGGAGGGGGCCAGGAGGAGGAAGGGGCGGCGGCGGAGGCGAGGGGATACCCTCCTCCGCCCAGCAGCACAACAATCAACACCTTCGCCCACCAACACACCCACCCACTCCTCAAAGGCTCGCTGGGGGTCGCCGTCGGTGCCGGTTTAAGATTTTTGCCGGGGAAGTGGGATTGTCTCTTTCCAAACAAAAGCGAGATCTTTGGCACGGGAGGCGCAGCAACTCAACGCGAGCAGGACAAGAACAAGTCTGGAGGAGTGGCACCTAAAGGAGGGGGGGTGCGGAGCAACCTTGCCACCTGTCTCGGGGCGAGAGGGGTGGACCGGAGAGAGAGAGAGAAAAAACTTCCGACCTCCGGACAACAGGAAGTGACCAGCTGCAGCTACAGCGACAAGAACCAGGCGGCTCTGGACGAGAGAGGCTGTTAAAGCACAAAGAAGGGAGGACGAACGCAAGAAGCGAAAGGCAGAGAAGTGCTCAAAGTCCCCGAGTTTGGCTGTTTACTTTTTTTCCCCCTCCTCTTCCTCCCCCACAAGAGAAACAGAAGCCGCTTCCGGGCCAGGCTTGAAGGAATAAACTACGGGAGAATAGGACGCGAAGATTTAGGCAGCGAAAGCAAAAGAGATAAGGAGGGAAAATATATTGCTTTTTTTTTTTAAGTCTCCCATCAAGGACATTTAGAGGCGCCGCAGAGAAACTTAAGCGCGATGAAGAATAACTTCTGGGTAAAGAGGAACCTGGAAAAAAGACAAAGAGTGATGTAATTTCAAAAAAGAGACAGAGAAAGAAAGAGAAAGAAAGAGAGAGAGAGAGAGAGAGAAACAACAGCGAGGAAAACAAGGGAAGCAGAGCTACCCAAAAGCAAACCGCCGAGATCCTGCCCTTCTCCCAGCAGTGAAGCTTGTGCACCTATGTTGTGTAAAGTCAATTGCACCCGCAGAGAGTGGTCCCCCAGGACTGCGTGCGTGTGTTTTGCTGCCGCCTGTGTCCCCTCGGTTACTGCCGCCGTCGCAGTCGGTGCCTCTCGCAGGAGGCGCTGCCGGTGCCGGGCAGACGCAGCATTTGGCCGAGCGAAGCGTCTAATTGCCGAACGCCCTCCCGCATTTACATATGCAGCCCGAGTCCACTGGAGCCGGGCCAATCCGCGCTTGCCCCCAGCATCATTAATCGCCATGCATTATTCACAATCATAATTACTGAGCCCCATGCGCGAGCCGCGCAGCCGCCCTATCTTTGCAAGCGCGCTCAGCACACAGCCCCGCGCAACACCCCGCCCGGCTGATCCGCCGTCGCCGCTTGGCTCGCTGGCGAATTTTATTTATTCCGTTTTCTCTTTGCACGCACCACAAGCCACCCCCCCCCCACGCCCAACCACCACCACCCCGCGCTAATTTGTTGCCGGTGAAATAAGAAGGGGGGGGCGGTGGTGGCGGTCCGACGCCACCAATACACTTTTTCCTCGCCACCAAGTCTTTTTTTTTTTCCCACCTACCTACCCACCCCACCCCACCCACCCCTCTCCCCGCAGCGCTCCACCTCTCGCCGATGTCTCTGCAAAAAGCAGGCACAAGAAGCCACCTCAGCTAGCAGTATGTCTCGACGAAAGCAAGCTAAGCCCCAACATCTCAAATCCGACGAGGAGCTACAAGCTGAGGTGCTTCCCGAACAAGGTAAGGCAGGCAAAGCAGGCAAAGCAAGCAAGCGGGATTGGGCGGCCGGAGTCGGGTGCCTACGTGCGCCTGTGTCTGTGAGTGAGTGAGTGAGTGTGTGTGTGTGCTTATGTGCGCGCGCGGTGGGTGTTTTCTAAGCCCGGGGATCTGGTGGATTTTACTGTCTTCGGAGGGAGCTTGAGCCAGCCCCAGAGAAGGCCACCTCGGGGGGGAAAAAAAGAGGTAGGAGAAACTCGGGTGGGAGTTTAAAGTTTAAAGCCGAAGTTTTTCGCCTCCCGCCCCCTTCCTTTTGGAGCAAGTGTTCGCTTCCACATCGAAGTCCCTCGCTGGCAAACTCGGCGTGCAGCGGAGGGCTTGAATTATGGCTGGACATCGGGGTGGGGTGGGGTGGAAAGAGAGAGAGAAGAGTTAGACCGTCCCCCACTCTCGGGAGTTGGAGGGTGGGAGTGAAGGACGCACTTAGAAATTCGCGCTCCCCCCCACCACCGGCCACCTCCGCCCCGAGCGCGCGCGCCGCTGTTTCTCCCCGCCGCTCTTAGCCGAGCCTGGATTTGCCGCCTTTTCATTTCTTTCTTTTCTTTTTTTTTAATCTGCGTTTCTTTCCTAGCGTTTGACTTTTCGACCGAAACGGTCTTTCTTTCTTTCTTTCTTTCTTTCTTTCTTTCTTTCTTTCTTTCTTCTTTCTTTCTTTCTTTCTTTCTTTCTTTCTTTCTTTCTTTCTTTCTTTTTTTTTCTCCCTTCCTTTCAGCCGTTCGTTCGTCCCCGTTCCACAAGCGGCTTGTCGTCTTCTTCCCCCCCCCCCACTTCACGGCAGAAAAGTTGCCAAGAGAGTTGAGGACGGGGGTGGGTCGGTGTTCGTGGGGAGGGGGGGGAGAGGAGACACCAAGCGGTGAAAAACCTTTCTGGATCTTTATGGTGGTGTCAGACCTCCCTTCCTTTCCCCTCCCCTCCCCCGAAAAAAACAACAACCCCAAACCACCCCGGAAGCGGCCCTGCTGGAGGCGGCGGCGGCGGCTTCCCTGGCCCTGGATAACAAATAAGCCCAGGCGAGGCGCTCCCGCCTTCGGCCTGCTGCGCGTCTGAGGGAGAGAAATATATATATATCTTTCGCGGTTCACTTCGGCTTTTACTCTGAAAAAGCGGCGGGCTCGGCTGCTTGGCCGGCTCGATTCCGGATTAGAGTTTTAAGTGTAATTCCTAAAGTAACCGAGGGGGAAGGGCTCGGGGGGGGGGGTTCCCCAGGGCCCCCCCCCCCACACACACACAGAGCAAAGATTGCGCAGGATTAGTTCTCTGAAGCAAGGTTTCTCTTTGGTCCGCCGAATTTTGGGACGTAGGCCTGGCTTTTGGGGTGGGGGTGGGGGTGCTTTTTCCAAAGGCCAGGGAGTGTCCCATAAATAAGTGGAGGTGGGTCAGATGTTCAAAGGCAAAAAAAGAGGTCTCTAAGTGTTAGGGAGGGAATAGGGGGTGACGCCTGGGAATAATTGTCAGTGCCTGGGGTGGATAAATTGTCTGCCCTGGGGCAGAGCTTAACTTGCCTCACGCCTGCTTTCATTTGCCACCACAATTTCCATGAAGATGTTCTTGGGTTTTTTTAGGATTTGAGGCGGATTATAAAATGGGATATTTGTTCCGCGCTTATTGAAAAGATTTTTTTTTTTTAAAAAAAGAATTTATTTGGGCCCCTTGAGGCCAAGAGAGCCTCCAGGCGTGCTCAGGCTGCTTATAAAACAAGTTGTGTCTGGTTTCAAAATGATTTAGCTGCAGTTGGTTAAAGGGTTTTTGAGCTGTCTTTAGAAGTCAATTTGGAATAATTCTAAGCTCCAGAATCTGCATATGACATTAAAATTTACCATTCCGGGTTGTTTTTTTCCCCTGTAGCTCAGATTGCATTTTTTTCCCAATTATGAAGGCAGAATGAAGTATTTCATTCTTCCTGTGGTTATCACTTAAAATTTCCATGCTGATCAGGATAGTGATAAAGAGGCAATCATTGGGAGAATGATTCTGTTGCTCCTAAACGGCACATTCTAGCTTGATTGCTTTCGTTTTTAAAAAGAATCTCCAAGGAAAATTACACATTTAAATGCTTCAGGAAAAAAAAAATACTCACACACTTCATTGGGCAAGAGGGGCTTGTGGAGGGAGAGAACTAAGCCAGAAAAGATTTTTGGCTACTTTAAATCATCACTGCAACCTTGCAGTTTAGTGCAACGTGAACTGACTTCCCAAGGTAAATGCATTTGCTACATTGGCAATTATTCAGAACTTGTAATTTCCTCCATCTTTTTTTTTTTTTTAAATAAGAAAGTTCTTGGAAAGAAGGGAAAGTCTGACCACTGCTGATTTGAACAGCTTCTTGGATAATGGTAATAATAAAAGGAAGTGAAACAAGTTTCTTGAAGGATAGTTGCAATTAAAACAAAATATTCCTTATTTTTTTAAAAAAAATTAAAGCCTTCTGGATACTTTAGTAAAAACAGGATATTTATCTTTAGTAAAAGAAAAATGATAGGAAAAATAATCTATCAGGGTGGATTGATAGATTGTAAACAATACTCTGAATACTTTAAAAGTTAACAAGGAAAAACCTCAGTGCCTCATTATGGCACTTCTGGTGAGTTAATAAATTGAAGAAAATTGTTCAACTAGGAGGGTTTTTTTTGTTTTGCTTAGTGAGTCTTATCTATGTAGCCATGTCACCCAAGATTAGAACAGGAGATATGCTAAAAAGAAACGCTTGCATATGGTGTGTAGATTAAGAACAAAGAATCTTTTTGTCATGGAAATGGATTTTCTCTCTCTTTTTTCCCCTTTTTTGGGGGTTTTGTTTTGTTTACTTCATCACATAGAATTTCTCACACTTGGTTTGTTTTGTATCGCCCTCAATGACTACATGATCAAATGAATGGATTTATTTCTGGCGAATAAGAAAGACAGTCTTCCCATCAAAAGGACTACATTGCATCCCAGTGAGGAATTTTAAAGCGTTATTATTGTGGTCACTGAATAGCTCAAAATCGGCTTTACCAGCAGCCTTAAAAATGCAACAATGTAAATACTTCACTATTTTAGAGAATTGTGATCAAAATGTGTTATTCTCTTGGTTAATAAATGCATGTCAGTATATAGAACATAATATATCTTGATAATTAGTTACATGCAGAGTTCTGCAATTTCAGAGCTCTGATTTACCAAAATCACATCAGGAGCTAAATTGGTTAAGTGTTCAACATTTTTATCTGACTTAGTACAAATATTTTGCCTGCAAAAAAGATTTAACTAGTTGTGTATATTCTAGAATAAGATGATGTTGTAAATCAGACACATCAGGCCTTTTCATTTCACTTTACAATTGTAAGCAATGCCACTGTTCCTGATTCTTAGTTCAGCAACAGGCCAAAAACAACACTTTTAAGCACATAAAACAGGCAAAAATGTGCAGATAATATTTTTCAAAGATACTCAATATACTACCCTTAGTTCTCTTCAGTTTTTTAATTCCTGACTCTCTAAAATAATTCCTCAAGCTATTGTGATAACTAATAAACTTACACATTTTATTATACATGAGAATACACACTTAGTGCTGCATTTTAGGGATATAATTCATTAAGAAAAGCTGTTAAAAGTAGGTGTACTTTTTTTCTTTACAGAAAGGATTTACACAGTAGCAGAAAGAAACATGACAGTTTGACAGACTGAAAGATAAATATAAGGCTATATTTAAAATTATATGAAGACCAGTAAATTTAGGTAGCAGTCTTAAAATAGGTGTTTTAGAAGCAAATTAATAATTTGGACTTATAGAGAAATGGGACTTTTTCTCCCATAAAGCAGAACATTCCAAGAGATTCCAAAACTAGTCAGAATAACATAAGCTACTGAAATGTTTGTTGTTGGAGAGAGAGCTCATGCTTTTGGTAATTTGGAAAATGAATGCTTACATGCAGTGATTAATTAGAATCTGCATAGTAGTTGATGCTGACAAGTCTAGGAACAAAAGGTATTTATGCACAAAACATTTAAAAGGATGCCATATTGAAAGAAATGGTCATTATAAAGAGTGACAAAATATCTGAAGGAATTGTTATAAATCCCAAGATAGTTAATTTGCTATTCTATATGCTAAATGAATTAATCTTGAGTATCAGAAGAATTTACATCTCCATTTTAACATTTCTCTAAATCAACAGATTACTAGTGCTATAGAACAGCCTTGTTTTGTTACAACAATTGGAAACACTGCATTCACTTAGGAACCAGATGCATTCACCAATTTCTGGGGGGAGGGGTACCACACAGCACTTTCAAGTGGATAATAATTGAATAGAAATTAGCTATAAAATTGCTAAAAGGGATTTCTAGAATGCAATTTGTACAGATTAAAGTAACATGGTTTTTTGTTTGGTTTCAGTTTAAAGTGGGCCAGCTCTTAGAATAATGATAGGTGGTTTTCAAATAATTGTAAAATGCATTTATATTGTATTAAGGATTTTTGTGACATACTAAATTTATTTTAAAAACCTGTTCACCAGAATTCTTATATTTAAACTATACATCTTTCCAAAATCCAGTTACAACATTTTTTTTATTCCAGTTCATCATTCAGTTATTTTGTTGATTTATTCCTTTGAATGTATTCTTTAAAAAAACATTCCTGTTTACTCTGAAGTAAGTTCATTTAAATTCAATAGGCTTATTCCAGGAAATATAAGATAGTAGGATTAATGTTCATAAAATTCATATAGATAAATAGAATGTGTTGCTTTCTATTATACTTAATACTCTTAAGAACATTAGAGATGATATGAAACATTTAATTAAACATTAAATTTTGTGATTTTTAGCAAATTGCCTTTTAAAATAAAAGGTCCTTGTATTTTCCAATTTTAAAACAGTTCTTTAAGATATTAGATTTATTATTATTGTGAGGGAGGAAAATTACCCTATATTATTGTGCACAGCTGTATAGTAAATATTCGCATTATATTTTATAT